TATATAGTCAAAGCTATCGGCGCTATCTATGGAGCGATTAGTTTGTGCTCCATTTCTTCTGCTTGTCTTGTGCTTGATACAGCTTGATAAAACATGGCAGCAGTTAATGGTACATGCCTTGTCTTGTCTCTTTTAATATTACATTAATAATATATGCAAAAATAACTGATTAAATGTTTTCTTGCTTGTTATTTAACGAACAAGAAGATTTCCATAATTGGTGCTTTTTTCATGAGAGTTCTTGTACATAACCTCACAATAAAGTTACATTTTTTCATTCAATACAATAATTAAGATGATGTTATACATTTCTAAAGATCGTTTCGTTTTACAGGTTGGGTATTAAACAATTTTTCCGCGACGTTTAGACACGCATCGTATCTTAATTTTTATCCCTTAATCAGTTTCCTACAAGCGCGAAATTATGCTGCCAGGAAGGGTACAAGAGAAAAAGCAAGGAAGAAAAAAGTCAAGAAGGTCATTGAAAAGGTGGGCTTCATCCCGCACAGTCAGAGAGCGAAAACGTAAGCACATCTTCATATATGCAAATATGTGTTACTATTAATATATTAACATCAATATTGCACTCTTGCGATATTAGTGCAGGTGGAAAGAAGACACTCGAGCTAAAGGATATTTCACCAGACGACAGTAAAAAGCCCGAACCAATAGATAATGTATGGATTTCAAAATATCATAAATGGAAAATTGATTCATTTGAAGAAGCAGTGCAGAATCATCGTGAAACGCACCATCCTACTATATATAATTTGCAAAATGAGCTTATAAAAGCATTTCTAGAATTAGATATGCAGGTAAAAATAAGGAGAAGAAAGTCTATGCAAGATATATGATATATAAGACTGTGCTAAATGTATAATTATATGTTATTAGGGTGTGAAAAAGACAAAATTTGTCGATCCTTTTACACGAATAGTATGTCTACCGCATATATTCGATCATGGTCAAACCAGAAAACTACTGGTATTCTGTAAGAGTCCAGAAATGGAAGAGATTGCAAGAGATGCTGGAGCTGATTATGTTGGTGGTAAACAGTTAATAAAACAGATTCAAGTGAGACATTATCTCTTACAGCATATTATGTGTACTTGTTATATGTACCATATATCAAGGAGAGATTATTGTTTAATAATTGATGCCATTCTATTTTAGAATGGACAATTTTCAATGAAGGAATACGATATTATTTTGTCAGAACCAACTATGTTACCTGATTTGCTATTAATTAGGGGACTTATGAGAAAGAAATTTCCCAGCACTAAATTAGGTTAGTGGAAATATGTAATTATACTTTTAAATTTTCATCTTTGTAATATATTGTGTGCTCTTCATGAGTGCATTACATAAATACATTGTTAGCGTAGAAAGTAGTACACATGTAGCATAATAGTAATACAGAAAGTATACAC